TTGAAGCCAGAGAGATTTCAACTTTGTGCTACTATTGTATCATTTGATGCTGACTTCCTAAACCAGGTACGTGCTATGACCATTAAAGATTCAATAGCCATTGATATCAAGCAACGTACCAATGACGACAAGTTCAAGGTGGAGGGAGATCTTTTATACTTTGAAGAGCGATTGTACATTCCAAAAGGACTAGCACGACTCCGAGTTCTTCAATCTCGCCATGATTTTCCAGCTGCGGGACATTTTGGATTCAACAAGACCTTGGAGCTTATTTCTCGAGATTTTTGGTGGCCCCAAATGTGGAAGGATGTGAAAGATTTTATCTTCTCTTGTGACATCTGTTCAAGATCTAAGAATCCTCGGCATCGCCCTTATGGACTTCTACAGCCATTGCCAATTCCACGTTCACCATGGTCTTCAATTTCTATGGACTTCATCACGGACTTGCCATCATCAAACTCATTTGACAGCATCTTTGTTATGGTAGATCGGCTTACGAAGATGGCACACTTAATTCCTTGTAAGAAGACATCGTCCAGTGAAGTCACAGCAAGACTCTTTCTCGATAATGTGTATCGATATCATGGACTACCAGATGATATCATATCAGATCAAGGTACCCAGTTCGTGTCAAAGTTTTGGAGATCTCTCTTTGGAATATTGAAGGTGGATATCAAGCTTTCTTCAGCTTTTCATCCTCAAACTGATGGCCAAACGGAACGGGTGAACCAAGTCTTGGAGCAGTACTTACAATGCAGCATCAACTATCAGCAAGACGATTGGACTGCATATCTACCGCTAGCCGAGTTTGCATATAACAACACCCTCCATGCGTCGACTCAACAAACACCATTCTTTTCCAACTATGGGTATCATCCGAAGCTTGATTTATTGAGTCCGTCAACAAATAACAATCCAGCAGCTGAAGGATTTGCAAAGCAACTATCAGAGCTTCAAACTATGTTGAAGCTTCAATTACAATCCGCTCAAGAATCCTATAAGACATCTGCAGATAGATTTCGGAATCCAGCACCTACTTTCAAAGTTGGAGACAAAGCCTGGCTTCTTCGACGAAATATCAAGACCAAGCGACCATGTGATAAGTTGGACTATCGAAGATTGGGACCATTTATCATCCAGAAGTAAATTAATCCAGTGGCATACCGGCTGGAGTTACCGGCTTCTATGAAGGTATATCCAGTCTTTCATGTTTCTCTGTTGGAACCTTATCGAGAGTCATCTTTTCCTGGAAGAGTGCAATGTCCGCCACGTAGTATTGAAATCGAGAACTACGAAGAATACGAGGTTGAAAAGGTATTGGATTCACGGCAAAGGTGGGGAAAGTTAGAATATCTTGTTCATTGGTGCGGCTATGACATTAATGAGCGAACGTGGGAGCCAGCTGAAAATCTTGCAAATGTGCCACAAAAGGTACAGGAGTTTCATCAACGACATCCCGATAAACCTAAATCAATTCGATGATAGCTTCTTTCTGAAGCTTGTTCTCCCAATAATATAAGAAAAGGGGAGAGCACCAGCAAAATTCATAGTTGATGTAGTTATTTTCTCCAAGATAGATCGTAGTTTGGTCTTTTGATATAGATAGCCAAGAGATAGATACTATGCCAGTCAGAGTATCGCAACCGAGTAGCTTATGAAGGCGACCCCGAGATGAAGAACTACATGTACCACGACGACGACGGAGGATACCGAGTAATCGATCACTGGTGATCGTATTTGAGATCGAGCCTGCTTACGATGGTCAACCAAAAGGCGTGTTTGCAGGACAATTTCACAATGAGGATACGGAAGTTCATGCTTGGTCAGAAGTCGAAGGCGTGGGCCACTACCGTTGGCTTCAAGGGTCGATGAACCACTTGCCTCGTGAACAACAGTTGGAGTTCATAGCAGAAGTTATGCGACAGATCTTCATTTTCTTGCATTGGTACTGATCAACAACATTGCTTCTCAAAGACCTCGAAGCTAAAAGAGGGGGTGATGTTAGGGACATATTCCTTAGAACTTTCTAGAGAGAAGTTTCTAGAACCTTCTAGAAAACAAGCCTCTGGAACCTTCTAGAAGAGAAGCCTCTGGAACCTTTTAGAGAGAAGTTTCTAGAAGCTTCTAGAAAGGAAGTCTCTGGAACCTTCTAGAAGAGAAGTTTCTAGAAGCTTGTAGAAAGGAATCTCCTGGAACTTTCTAGAAGCTTCCTAGTTAATAGAAGTAGCTCGAGAAGTTTCTAGAACCTTCTAGAAAGGAAGCCTCTAGAACCTTCTAGAAGCTTCCTAGTTAATAGAAGTAGCTCGAGAAGCTTCCTAAGTAGGAGTATATATAGGGATCGAGGCTGAAGAGTTCTTCAGTCTCGACAACACATCTCTTGGAGTTCTAGCTCACCTTTCTGGTGTTGTTCTTGTACTCATCTGTTTAATCTAGTTCTGCCACTTCTTCTTGAACTTCTTGTTAGATTTCAAGTCTGTATTTTGTGTCCGTGACATCCATATGGAAATTCTATAAGAATCATGAAAGTAGAATCACATTGGTGTATGGCATGGTTTTTAATTTGTGAATATATTAAATATTTAGCTATAAAGAGTTTATCTTCAAGTTATTGGCCAAGTTCTAACAATAGATTTATTATAAATACAGAAAAAACTAAATAAAAATATATTCAAATATATTATACTAATAATAAATTTTTTATTTAAGTAAACTTATATATAATTTTTAATAAATTAAAATATATATGTTCTTTTAAAGACTCATCTTCATCTCTAAATTTTGTTATATCTCTATATATTCATCTTTTACACCTTCATAAAATCTTGGCTTTTATGAATCCTTTAGGTTGCAAAAAATAATCAAACTGTAAAAAACTCCCTTCAACACCTTATTTACTTTCAAAATATTCTTTCTTATTAAACTTTAAGATCTAATATCTCTTGATCTATTTTTTTTTAATTTATTAAAATTTTATTTTATCTCTTTAATTTTTATTATAAAAAAATTAGCCATAGATTTATTTTCAATTTTTTAATAACTCAAAATCTCTAGTAGGTGCTTTAAATCCTAATTTACACACATCCAAGTGTAATTTTCTTCATATTTCAAAATCCAAAATTAAAATCTAACAAAAATTGTGTGTGGCTTTTTAATATTATCATATAAGTTTTAAAAAATTTTGAACCAAAAACTTATTAAGATTATTTTATGTTCTTTGATTGCAATTGTTGACTTCAACTCTCTATATCTCCTTTACTTTAACTTAGAATTCATTAAATTAAACATGTAAAGTATAGTAAAAAAAGTGTTATCTTTAATTTTGGTTATTTTTCTTTTATTGGTTTCTATATAAATAAAGTATACCTCAAAGAATAACTATAGATTTGAAATCAATATCTAAATTTTGAGTACATATATCTCTTTCACAAAAACTTTAAATCACTCAATTTTAATACTAAAAATTTATTCAAAACTTCTAAATTTTTATCCTAACTTCTAATATTCAAATGACCCTAAAATAGTAATCTTAATTCCTAATAAGGCCTTACAAAATCTCCTTAAATTCTATTAGGCATGTCCTTTGGACAATAGAAATGGAGATTTCTATTTTGTATTTTCATTCATCTTTATGTGTGCTTTAACTACTCTTTTTGATACCAAGATTCTTTTCTAATTATTTTTTAATTAGATTTATATAATATTTGTCATAAATATTAAATAAAAGAAATAAAATAAAATTTATCAATTCTTCTTACTTTGACTTATTGTTATTAGGTTCATTTGCCATATTGTTGGTCCATCTTGTAATAGCTTATAGACATCATAACTTGTAATAGAAAGTGTTGCTAATGTCAAGGACATGAAACATAATAAAATTCTAAAGAAGCGATATACTCTAGTGACATTCAAAATAAATAAATAAACAAATCAAAGATAGTTATAAGATAGAAACTAAAATGGCAATTACCATACACAAGAGGACTAGAGATTCTTTAACTAAGACAAGAATTATAAAAAATAGACATTGATAAGAATACAAAAGGCCTTATTCTTCCCTTTATTTGTACTATCTAATTAAGGAGTTATATAGCAACATTCTACATATCATTTGAGACATGTCCAACTTATGAGACATATGTCTAACTTGCAAGACAAGTTTCCAACATATGTGACATGTTGCCAATTTATTTTTTTAATAATAAAATTTATAATTCGAATTGATGATTTCTAAATACCTTTTAAATTAATGGTAATACAAAAGTAGAAATGAGTGTTATCTAAGTTATTATTACTATCTCTTAAAATAGTCTCTAGACTATTAGCTAATTGTGTACTTATTATATGAAATTCTTAGGTTATTTTTTGTAATATTATGCATATATATATATATATATATATATATATATATAAATATATTGTGATGTCTTTATTGAAACAAATATATTAAAATTCATATTCTATTTTTAAATATATAAAAATATTTCTAAAAGTAAGAAAAAATCATGGATTTTTTGTAATCTTTAAATTGTTATTTTTTATGAGAGAATACTTGCAATTCATGATTATCTTATATTGAGAGCATGTTCTATTTTCTTCTAGAATTAAAGAAAACCATTGTTCAAAAATAGATTAGGAAAGTTGCCCTTATTTTTTACTAGGTCCACATACAATCTCCATACCATTTGATAAATTGTTGGGTATATAGAGAATACAAAGATCCAAATTTTAGTCCATCTAATGCTAATTGAAGTTAATCCTTATTTCAATAATAATGCAATGTTTCAAATTTTCTAAGCTAGAATCAAAGAGGTCGGAGAGTAGATCAAGTAATTGAAATTTGAGAACCAAAAAAAACCTAGAAGTGCCATCACTCGGTGCCCAACTCAGAATTCCGTAGAAGTATGATTTCTGGTGAGTATATACGATATATATTTGGGCGATACTCTATATTATACGTATTCGTCAACCTCAGGTACTATGCATTAAACAAGCCCACAATTGCGCTTTGACTTGAGAATGTGATCCTCTCGCAAGAACCTCACACTCCCGTGATCTCGATAGACTGTGAGTCTCGAAGTGTCTACATATTGCAATATTGGGTTATATCAATCTGCCAAGCTTGAGTTTTTCCGCACGCCCAAACAGTGTTTCTGTTTCAATCTTTCTCGTGACGTTGCGGGGCATCAGGAGAGGTGTGAACTAAGCAAGGAGTCTCCGCACCAGGCATAGGCTTACGATTCCCAGGGTCTCTGGCCACGGCCGGAGAATTTATTGATTGTTTCAGTTTTTTTCTCTTCGTTTTTTTTTAATTTTATTTTTTTCATCTGAATCTTTCACTTGTTGCCAGAGCTTTAACCCTCCCGATGCGCAATCACACCAGCTGAAGTTTTTGCCCTCGTGCGCTTGCGAGTCGTCGACTGAACAGAAGTAGTATGGCTGATAGTAGGACTGTGTTTTTGGTATTTACTCTTTCTACTTTCCAATTTCCCTTCAGTTTTCGTTCTAATATCGGATGTGTAATGTTTTTTTATATATGATCTCGGCTTTGGTAGCAGTACATGTAGTTAGATAGTGGCCACATGGTAAGCGATGAGAGCATGCTTCTATAAGCTGGGAAGACGACATTTACTGCAGAATTTCTGCGTTGCAGATTCAGTTTCCTTGAACAAGTTATGAGAGTTGCAACAATCCTTCTAAGATTTCGAAACCCTAAGAGCTCTTGCCTATTACTGATCCTCACTTCGTTTTGTTTGGAATAGGTCAATACTTTCATTACGCATACGGTCCTACTACTGAACAATTTCTCTGCGGTCTGCGAAGACAAACTTGCTGACGTGCACTTGTGGGTTCTTTTTTTCATGTCTTTCATTCGCTGTGCATAATCTTGCCACAATTAGCTCGAATGACTTTGTTTTTTATGTGTGTTCATTGATTTGTTTGTTGAGTTAGGTTACTTCACGTTGGTACTTGACGTCGTGGAACACACTTTGATTGTTTTGGTCTATAAATTTTTTTTGTTTCTTCAGATAGCAACCCTTTTACTTGGTGATTTGTTCGTCCATCCCGTACAGGATGTTAATGTGTGAAATCATCACTTTTGCTGTAGCTGGTTGGCAAATTCAGAATTTTTTTTGAGGTTTAGCAGCTATGGATGTTGATGTGATGTGCTTTAAAGAACTTGGGTTTGATATTAGATAGGCACCAGTCTACAAATATCGGAAAGCTGAGTTTTCCTATGGTTACAGGAGGATATTACGACTGGAAGCCACCACCACTCTATTAGAGTCCAGGCTGGACAGTGTAGCTCGATCCCGGGCCGAAGCTGGTGAATATTTCCTTCATTTTAGTATTTTCGTTTGTTGATTGATTAGCACCTTAAATAAAATTCTACGATGACTTTGCTTACTCTACACACTCCTGATTTTAGTTGGACGATCACTAAATGGATCTGTCGCTTTTACACGTGCATCATTGGTACATGAGTAATAATTTTAGCTACAGCTTGTCAGAAGTGGGTAGGCTGCTACATAAATGAGTAAGTCGTCAAATAATTATACTGCAGCATCCTTGTTACTATCATCATGTATATGCATCCAAAGGAATCGTCTGGCTTAAGGTGCATTTTCACAAGGACCGAATATTTGTTTCTGGAATATCCAGGAAGATCATCTGAAGAGCACACTCAACCATCCGGCGAAATCCTGGGATCTTGAGTACAAAAGTATTGAGACACGATGAGGGACGCTGTGGCTAAGGGGAAGGAGATGGGGGCACGGTACGCCGGCACGCAGGATCTTATGCGTGTGTTCAACCGTGCTCTCGAGCTTTTAAACAGCAACACTCCAGAGAGTGATCAAGAGCTTTTGGAGCTTGTGAAGAAGTCTAAACGCGAAGTAGATAAAGAAACATCTGCTCCTGTTAAAAAACCTCGTAAGACTCTTCGTTCAGACTCTCATCTTCGTTGACTTTAAATTTCTTTTTTGATGTTTTCACTGTGATATGTTAACGTGGGATGGGTTTTATGCAATTGGCTCATTCGCGTTAATTCACTTTTATGTTCCCTCACTTTTCTTCCAGTACCCTTGCTAGTGCCAGACAAATCGTGGAATTACTGTAGAAGTAATGTTCTGCAGAGGTTAGAAGATAGGTCATTGGTTTTCTTGTAAAGTTAGATTCATGAAAAAGATACGGTAGACTTGGCTTCTGTTCTGAGGAGAGAGCGATTATCCCGCCAGGGCATGAATGCCCTCTTGAACGTCGCAGCACATGTTTTGGTCGTCGCTATCTGCCACACGTCATGAGTTTCAGTAGGCTTGACAAGAGGTGTGTGGATGATGGTTTCTGCTTTATGGAAAAAACGAAGAACACAGATCCTACAAGTGCAGAGATCGAGATGAACCAACGCTAAAGGGTATGTTAATAATGTTGACGTTGTGAAGGTCGAGGAGCTTCAGAGGTTGGCGATTTTCAGGCCTTGGGGCATCGCTCTAATTTAGCCACACTTACTGGTGATCATGTAATCAGATTCATGTTCACATTCTGTAATTTGTTATTCCAAAACGCACAGTGGATTTGCCTGGTTCACAATTGCAGCAGAGTAACATACGAGTAAAATTTGAGTCTAGACTTGCATGACTTCCATGTCAGTAAATTTTCGTGAAATAAAATATTAGTGTCAATTGCTAGAGGTGAAAGAGGTTGCACTGATGTGAATCAACTGGGTACCTGGTGCAGGGGAGCGGGCAGTCTGGGTCCGGAAGCGAAGGCACGCCTACTCAGTCCACGTCCGGTACCTCTGCTAGCGTAGCGCATGCCCAGGTCCGCCCAATTCAAGTAATACGGCTTCCTGGACGTGGAGGTGGAAGAGGTGAAAAGCACAAGCGGAATAAGAGTAATCGTTAGGGTTGCTTTATGCAATAGTGGGAATTCCCTTTGTTGTGTGCTTTCTCGTGGATATATTGTAATCTGTCTTGATTCCTCACTGGAGGCCTTAGACTTGTAGATACTTCACAATTATGATAGTTTATTTCATTGCATTACTCGGCGACCCAACTATTGACTTTCGCGAATGAAATATCGCCTCATGAACACTCCACTGAAAGGTTTCTAAGCAATTACAATGAAGGTATCCCTACAGACATAAATATTCGCTCTGAAGCCTTCGAATGAAAACACTGTCTCTATGGACTGGACATGACGAGTTATCGTTTTGAAAATAGATGGCACATATTTACCCATTAAAACCTTTTCTTTATTCGTTTTCACTGTTCGTCTTTCAGTGAATGCCCTAGCTAACCTGGTCTGTCTTGGTTCACGCCATTTGTTAGCTCTCTGCACATGCACCATCAACAACAGCGATCATGTAGGAAATGTTGGACGCATGGTGGATTCACATTCTTGTGCTCGAAGCATGGATTTTGCCCAACTCACTCCAGTAAATCTTAAAACTGATGTCACGTTAAAGTTGATTCTGCTGTTACCACGACAGGTGCCGAACTGATCAGATCAGATTCTGTGTTTGACAATGGTCTGACTTTGAGGACTATGAAGCATTTTCCTCGCCGTGATGGGATTCTGAAGCAAAAACACATTAGTTTTGCAAACAATTCCTGTTGCGAATCTAAACATATGAGCAGTGTGTTGCGAGCACACGTGTGAGATGGGATATGCTTGGGAGACGACTACGTGTCCTTTGCACTTTTCAAGTGTCCTCTTCGACGGACATTGCATCGTTGCCCAAGTCCATCGCATATTAGCAGTTCAGACGTGCCGAGCTGGTACTCCTCGCAGGAACACTCCAGTTCGATGAGAGGAGCTTGTGTTTTCTTTCCTGGGTATCACCCCTCCAGAGTACTCTTGTTACTTTAGCTCCAAACTGCATTTTGCAGGAAGGATCAACACTTCCGCTTCCAAGTCACTGATCTCAGTCTTAGTCGTGTAGAGCTTTTACGATTGTGGGCACGCTCTAATTGCCCTCGCGTTGTAAGGCACTGAGCACGTTGGGAAGGGCCAGCTTGCTTCCTCCGCAGAAGGTAAAGCGCACTCAAGCACGACCACAAAGACCGCAGAGGTGGTAAGCTTGCTTGCAACGTCATGCTTCTGATTCTGTCCAATTTTGGATACCTCGACATGTAATTCCACAGATAGTGGCATCAAGTTCCGTGGGTCTCTGCACTAGGGTTCAGAATTCGAGTATCTCAGCCTTCATCGACTTCTTTCATCTTGATACTTGGTTCGAATTCTTGTCTGCGTGCACTTCTTGCCGCAATCGACAGTGAGCGGCAAGCTTGCTATTAGTTTTGAGTGGTTATGCCGCAACTTGTTACGAATTGCTTGATTTTCGTCTGGCGGCGGGCTCCTTAAGCTATATTTTGTACTGTAAATTTGAGTAAGCAGACGGAGCTTGTCGCATTTCGGCTGTGTGATGGTTTTGGTCTCACATTAATTTGGCATCGTTCAAAGTAGTGTAATTAATGCATAGTTCGCATTACTCGTGATTCAGGTTTTCCTCCGGTGTTCGTGGTCAACACAAACGCTGAACCCAACATGGCAAACTCTTTGTGCATCAAGACAACTTGTGCAGCTTCCTCAACGTCAATGCGGAGGCAGATGTTCCACCATTTAGCACCAGCAGCGAAATCCCCACGAAAACTGGCATCCCACAACTCTTCACTACATGGGATAAGCATTTCCTCCAAAACATCCTCGACAACAGGCCACCGGGCTGCGGATTCTTCCCGACGCCTAGCCACGCCCGAAACCGCATCTGCAAAGCTTGTCACTTTCACGGGAAGGAAAGAGGTGTCCATACCCTTCAAAGAGAGATCCATACCACCGGAGGACTATCTTAAGGAAACGGAGCGCATCGTCAACGTGACGTTCCCAGACTCGGCCCGGATCAAGTACCTGGGTGATGAAGTATGGCAAGCTCGCCTTCTCACTATCACATTCTTCGACTTCTCCGCAACACCATACACCGATGTCAGGTCTGACCTCTCTTCTCCTCCTCCTCCTGCTCCTGCTCCGTCTCCCACCACCAGTATTCTCCCACCCTTCAGCATCCCATCATCAATCCAGCACCATTAACCCCACTTCTTCACATCTCGCAGAGTAGTGCACGACAACGGCGTCCTCATCATCGACTCCAACAAGCTGGTCCTAGACGTAACGGGCCTTCCACGCCAGTTCCTCAACTTAGACCTCCAGCTTGCCCTGCACGGGGAGCTGCGAGTGATACCCCGCAGCACAACAGGGTCCGATCAGTGGGACTTTGGAGGGTGGGTGGACATCAGCGTGGGTGTGAATCTCCCGGTGCCGCTGTCGCTGATCCCGACAGGATTACTGACGGCAGTGGGGGATCAAGTGGTGGACCGCATCCTCGGCGCCATGGAGGGCGCTCTCTTGCAAGGCATCATCGACGACTACAACGCCTGGTGCGCCGCGCCTCCCCCCACGCTCTCTCCTCCTGGTGCCGCGCCTTCCCCCGCGGTCTCCTCTGCCGCGCCGTAGCGTCACGTCGCGGCAGCGCCTGTTCTCGCCATCCATTTCTGGATGTGGATGGATGGATGGATTGTAGATGGATGTAGTTCACTTATTCATCCTCTCATGTTGGGCTGGCTCGCAATAGAGCCGGATCCTATTAGTTTAGTTTAGAGCATTCTAGGTAACTTGGTTTGTAGCCTTTTTTGGTGCATGTGACCATTCTTTTGATTTAGAAGGGCAAGGTCTTTTGTAAGTTATCAATCTTGGACATACCCATTTTATTCACACAAAAAAAAAAAAACGAATCAATTTAATATGTATTTTATTACTTTAGATATTCTTTTTAAATTTTATTTTTACAAAATTCAAGGAGTTGGGAAAATACCTAGTGAATAGTGATGAATTTATGGGTAGTGGGTTCAAATGTGGTAAAAAAGAAAAAAAATGTATTGTTGGTTTGAATATTGTGCTAACTAGATAATATATTGTAGATTGAGATATAGCCTTTGCCTAAGTATCCTATTTTAATTTACCTACCTCCTATTAATTAAGTTGATTAAAGGATTTACTTTGACTTTTTGTTTTTGATACAATATTGATCATATAATTACTCTTATGTTTTTATAATAAATTAATAGAAAATTTATTGGTCAAATATCTCCAAATTTTAATAAAAATGTGTATTTTTAAAAATGCATATTAACAAAAAATTAAAATTAACATCACAAATTATAATGAAATATTGTCAATCTTCTAATCGCTTTATCTAACAAACGGTACTCCAAAATTACTAAATTGCAAACCAAATTGTTGAGTAGCAAAGTTTTAGATTTATCAAATAATTTCATTGTTACTACTTATATTTATGGTTATTATTTAAATACTACACAATAGTAGGCTAGAAAAATGCTTTATAAGACTGTTAGTTCTACTATATTTACAAAGCATATTTGCAACACACAACAAGACAAAGGCAATAGGGTAAAAAGTTGCAAAAATAAAAGAAAATTTATAATACAAATCCTAAATTTTAAACCATTAAAAAATTAAAGAGAGCTTTTACAACAACCCAATCATACATCACAGAAATGAGACTTGAAGGTAATTAGTTCAAATCAAATATTAGTTATAAATAAAAACCTATTTTTTATGTTTTTTATAACTCCCTTAAATTATAAAAGAAAACTTGTATATCACTAAAAAAAAAAATACAGCAATAATAATCATAATAATAATCTTATTGTTTCCTATTTACCACTATATAAAAAATGAAAATAAAATCCACTCAAATTTTGTCTTGCTTCTTTTTGACTTGGCCTAATCTCTTGTTCAACCCCTGCAAACTAATCACCTACAACCTTCATATCAAATTAGTAAAGTAGAGCCGACACCTCATCAATGTTTTTCAAAAATACTAGAGTCTCCCATTGATCTTGGAAGAAGTGCTCCAATTCAAGTACTAGATTCTTTCAAGCTCTAGTAAAACAATTGAGATTCCTTTGCACAAACTATTTATGAGTTTGCTCCAGTCATGCCTCTCTGAACCTTATTCCACAAGTTTGATGCATCTTTGATACATGTAGGCACCCATCTTTCAATAGTTCTTCTGCAATTTCTTTCCTTGTCGATCTCTTCTCTTTCTCTTGCGGGTACCTGAGCCTCTCTTGTTCATGCCAATCCAAAGCCACTTCCTTCAAGAAAGCTACAGAGATTATGTTTACGAACCTGGTTGTGGTGATTTGAATCGTGTGACCACAGTTTGCATTGATGTCTGAAAGTCCCAGAATCACCCGCCTGGAAAAATGACATCTACAAATTTCATGTTGTAGTATTCGTGGTAGACAATACCTGAAAGCTTATCTTAGAGATACCACGGAAGGATTGAATGCTAAACGAATTAGAGCGAAGGGAAGTTGGAACGCAAAATTCGACACGAGGGAGAGGCGTAAGGACATCGAGAAGGACAAGGTGAAGGCGAATACTCAAAACCCTGAGGACTTCACAGATTTACCACCATTCCTCCCTTCAAAACTCCGCCACATTTCAGCTTTGCTACGAAACCTCAGTCATGCTCTGAACAACGAGCCAGCAATCCTTCATAATAACATGTACGAACAAGGAAACCACAAAGTTGCAGTCACCAGGTAAACAAAAAAAATCACAGCTCCACTGTGACCAACTACTGCCAGAAGTGTCTGTAAAATTACATTTCAAGGTTTTTGATGGTGTTAAGCTGGAATGTAAATCATATAGCTCCACTAATCATTTGCTCATGCTACAAAAGAATCCCACAGGAGGATAAATGAGACAGGGTTTCTCCGTTGGATTTGAGTTTCAACATTCTGCCTCGCGCCTAAGGGAAATGGCACAAACTAAAGTCACAAACATTGCACATCCCCAAGCCTAAATCTCCCTAACGAAAGTAACCTCCACTAAATAAAAACTATCTTCGAAGTAGATTTGGTTACAGAGGCAGCCCTCTTCACCAGAACAGTTGAATAAACAGTGTAAAGCAAACTGCGGACGGAGATGACACAAGCCTAGCTGTTATAAGTAGCGGTGCAAAGCCCATCAGCCCCTGCAGAAATATTCACAGATCAATAGACCGTGCCTCACGAGTTTTATCTCGAGAGCCAAGTTTGGAACTCTCAAAGATCCATACAAAAGGATCAAAGGAACATCGTGAAAATTAATCACTGGCTGAATTTGTGACTGCCTGCGTTTTGAAGGTGCTGGAGAACTGCGTGAATAGCACGTAAAGAAACCATCCCGGCTTAATACAGAAATAACTATGCATCAGAACAGAAGAAAGTCCGTACAAGTGACAACAAGACACCCAAACGAAATGAGGTGTAATCTTCCCGCCACCACACTGGATGTGCTAACAGCTCCAATCATGAGTAATCAGCCATGCTCATCTTCGAAGCCACCATAGCAGCACAAACCTCTGCAAAGGAATCATCGTTGTCGGAAAATAAGAATTAATGTTCTCTTTGAAATGAACGAGTGCACAGAAGACAAATAACCCACGAAACTGTACTCACCCAACTTTTGGTGCATCCACAACTTAACTAGGTACATCAATAGTTGTGAACACACAACTAGTGTACGCTACAACACCGAATTATATAAAAGAATCGATTAACAATCGTTCCCAGACCAAAAGAAGTCACATGCAGTACAAGAATCTGCAGTTACTACAAAAGGACAGCATTGCTTTCCGTTATTCAATGAAGATAATACCAAGCTCACATTTACAAATAGGTCGCTGCTATGCGTTCACAAAATGGTGCAGCCACAATCCTGTATTTCATAAGTCCAAAAGATAATAAGTAAGATATACATTTGAGTTCATTCTAATATAGACCCTAACTACTAAATTAGGGGGTGGCAGATTACTCTGCTATCGTGCCACTCTAGAATTCCCTAACGACCTTACAGGAAATCTACCGAAACGTACACTCAATACTTCACATATAAATGCAAGATAAACCATCAAAATTGAGAAAGACAAAGAGAGACAATTTCGTTGAGTACTAGACGACGACCACTGAAAACAGGTACCCATACTTACCGGCCGACTGCTCTGCTTTTTTCCTTTTGGTCCACCAGGCTGATTGTGCTTGACATAGCTATCTTCGTGAGAGGGCTGCTGCTCGGGATTCAACCTTGGAATGTGCACTGGACCACCTTCTTTCTTCTCATTTGAGAGCTTTTGAAAAATCATGGTGAAGCCATCTCCAGCATTTGGGTCTTTGACATCCCAAGCTCCAAATTTGGGCAAAGCACCTCCTTTAGCTGGCTGTCCACGTCCTCAAAGCCCATTGTGTCAGTGATATAATAGCGCTATGGTTGGAAGGTATGACTCATTAACCAGAATATAGAGATAAGTCACTTCTTTCACATGAAGTTGATGCAGTATTACTACTGCTAGAAATTCATCACACCACGAGGGTGTTGCTCTTACCGGCTCCTCACGTGGTCCGGCTGGCCGTAGGCGAGTCTTGGGAGCACCTGAGCCCGTTACAGACCCTTCATCTCCTCCAGAAGGATGCCGACCTCTTCGCTCCCAAGCAGGTGAGGCAGCTCCTCGTCCAGCGTCACGTGCGCCCAACCTGTTTCCGTGAACATGTGCAGGTGAGCGGTCGGCATTGTGGTTTGAGCCATCTCGATCACTATGGTTTGAGACATCTCTATCAGGACGTCTTGGGGGAGCTTCAGCCCCTCCGCGACCTGCAATTGTATTATAAAAGAGAAATCAGTAAGCAATTAGACATGCAAGAATATTTTAAAATCCTTTAAGCTGTGCACGTACATAATAATCAACTCCCTCAAGACAGATGATCACATAAGTCTTACAGCCAGCACTCTTGCACTTTTGAGATGCACTTGTACCCGAAAACATCTGATTCTAGATGACCATGATCTAGATAATGTTCGAATTGCAAGAGCTGCGTTGTCACTCATCATCTTTATCAACTTCTGGGTACGGATTCAAACCATCTCAAGGCATTTTCTCTAGAGCCACACTAAAACGAGTTATTAATCTCAGTAACTACTCCGGTGATGGGTATTACAGACACACAAGATAGACTAAAATTGTGTTGTTCTTTCTCCATTTGCAGCCAAATTATGTTGAGAGAAAATAAATAAATAAATAAAATGTAAAATTCTCACCTCCAACTCCACCAGGAGGTCTACGAGCAGGTGGTTGATCAAGATGTGGGGGCTGACGACTGGGAGGATCGTTTGATCTGCGAACATCCAAATCCTCACGACTGGAGCGCCTTTCATGTCGCGGACGATTTTCATCTGTTAGTTCAAAGACTGAGGTTAGAGAGATGAAATCGCAAACGAACGAAATCGAATGATATCAGCATTTTATAGTATCAAAGAGGTGATACAAACAATACCATGTGCACGGCGCTCATTATTTCGATGAGCAGGAACACCACCATATGTTTGAGCGGCTAAAGCTTCGTTCTCGGCAGGATCATTGGGGTTGATAGGTTTTCCATTCTTGCCCGTTCGTGCCTGATCAAATACTGCAGTGTAAGCTGAGCCATTTCCCGCACCCGCATCCCAGGCTCCAAATTTTGGAACATGGGGTCGCTGCACCAATATAGGATTATATGCGTGAGAGCAGAGACACGAGGACGAAACTGCAACATCCTCACTACATTAAGCCGCGTCCCTTTCGACGTTCAAATACGAAAAAATTACGACGTCCACATGAAGGTTTGCGAAAATCACCGCCATGAGAAGTTTCTCTCAGACCACTGCGAAGGATTCCTCCTCTCTCGCCTCCCCTGCATCAATCATGATCAGGAAGACCTCAGCATTTCATGAGTAGTTCAAATAACATAAACGATAAGGTTCCCAGCCACTCGGAAAAATTCTTCTGAGAGGCAGACACTGCATAACTACTCCTGGTCAAAATTGTCTCCACATGTGGAATTTACTGCAATACGACGTGTTGAGCCTCGCCTTGATTATTTCTATTTGTTTGAAAACCGATGGACCATTTCCCCTAACACTAACAGATGCTACCTTCTCCTCCTCAAAGATCCCACCTAAAACCCACAAAACCATCAATTTAGAGGCCATTGTACGACTCAAGTCAATTCTGTAACCAGGATGTAATTTGCGACGTAGTAGCTCTAATGCCTCTCGGGAAAAATTTCTACAGTGTTTGTCATGCTTACAACCAAGGTTTCCAACAGTCTAACCATCATCCAGGCGGTTCCTAGAAGAACACAATTAACTAGCGCAGCTCGGTCACACTATGACAAAAACTACAGCAAATGTAAACGCGCGCTCGGTCCCTAAATTCATTTTGTTAGATTATTCAAACACCAATCATCCTTCGACAAAAGTTCCACTCTCACGACCTAAGCACCCAAACTCGAGCACTAGCGACAACAAGATCTACATTGACACACCACCCGCAACTTTAGCCAAACCGAAGCAGAGCAACCGACCACACTAACCATTTCAATCAAAACTCCGTGCTCCAGTACTATGCCATCCTAAACCTACCACCTCGTTACCATCAAGATCTACACCAACAAATCTCATCCCACAACACAGTCCCCAACATTGCACACTCAAACACTAACCCACTCAAACCATTCCCACATATCTAACCACTTCCACTCCACAAGCCACTAACAACACACACACACGCGCGCACGCGCACGCACATACACATCCAACAACAACAAAACCCACCCAATGCTCAACTTACCTGGACCGATCCCGACTGTCACGAGCTCCCTCACCCAACCAACCAACCAACCCCCGCGCGCTGCGAGATGGAAACTGTAGTGAAGAATGGGGTCCTGTTTGGAAAGAGAAATGGGAGATCGTGAAGCTCAGGGACATGGCAGGGTGGGGACAGAGCAGGAGGACCTGTAGAGGAGGAGTGGGGGAAAAATAAAATACCATGCCCTAGCAGCAGCAACAGCAGGTGCAAGGGGGGGGCATAAAGCACTCCTTCCTCCTCCTCCGGGACTTGGCATCAGCCTTGCTCCTCGCCCTTCAAACGGGGCGACGCCTCCAGCTATGTTCACGCACCCTATCTCCAGCTCGTTGCCTATTTCCGTCTCCAGATGCGTGCTCGACGTTCCTTTCGTGATTCTTATCACTACTGCCCCACATCTTGAACATTGTGTATTCTAATTTTATGTGAGTTTGTGTGCACATTTAGAACAAGAGAGCGAGACTACGTTTTGTTGAGATGTTGGGATGTTTTGCTTTGAATTTATGTGGGTAGAAATTCATTTACATGCTTCAAGGTTTTGGTGGATTATATATATATATATATATATATTCATATGTATTTAAACATATGTCTTATGAATTTGTATTTTATATAAATATTTATATTTACATTTATATGTGATTCTATTTTTTTTTTCAAACTAATCTTAATAATATTGGAAATATGTTTTATTTCTGACTTATATGCATTTCAAACTTTTTACTTTTTTGTCTATAATTTTAAATTTAATTATTAGAAGTGATCCAAATAGCACAATAATTTTTAAAAAATTAAAAATATTTATCTTCAATTTTTACATTTAAATATACATTTGAATATCATAATTATATTCAAATAAAAAATACATACATTTTATTTTTTTTATTTGAGATTCTCAAAGAGCCTCAACCACATTTGTATAGAAACATACATATATAAGAGTTTTTTTTACTTTTTTAAATTTGAACTCAAATTTAAAATATTTATAATATAATCATTTTTTTTTCATTTAATTTAAAAACAAAAAATTCATGAACAAGTCATAGATACAAAATATATTGAATACATATCTATATGTATAAATTATAAATAATTATAAATAGGAATTTTGAATACATACAATAATGTTTTTCAAAGGTAGTAAGTAGGTCCTTTCAACTATCAATAGTGTCATGTATTAAGGTAGAAAGACCACCTTGTTATTTGACCATTTTTAGGGCTTTTGTAACTTCTTTCAAATAAAACATTTGAAACACCATCAAAGGTGGTTCTTATCTCCAATAATATTACCAAATATTGGAACTCTCTTTCAAAGGTGTGTTATTAAATATTATATCTTACCATTTATTCATAAAAGAACATATTGTTCTTCAAGGTCTTTATCTCTATTACATTGTCTTGAATGTTATGACAATTTCAATGCTTTGTGTAGTAATTTAGCAAACAATAAGTCTTGATAAAATTTCTTGATTGTAAATTCTCCATATATTTAGTGCCACAAATATCCAAAAATCACAAATAAGAATAGAAGATAGAATACAATCTTCACTAAACACAATTTCTTTTATAGCAATGAATTTCTTGACTCTTCATCTTGGTTTTGATAGATATCTTTAATGGAAAAAATCAACATTCTTTGTTGCATTTGCAAGATTTTTATCTAATTATTATGAGCATTCACTATTATCATATTTGCACCAATACATAAGATATTCTAACTTACTTTGGTGTGGTTATTGTATTATGTAAAAACTAATCTAGAAATGAATTGAATACATGGTTATGAAAGGTAAATTATATTTGCAAAAAAATTAAAAAATTAAAAAATTAAAAAATATAATAAAACTTTAAATAAATTTTAATTAAATCATAATAATTATAATAAAATAAAATTTTATAATAAAATCTTTAAAATTTTCTAAACAGTTCTTTAAATAAATTCTAAATAAATTCTAAAAAATCCTAAGTAAACCGTAACCAAATCTCAATAGAATTATATTCAAATCTTAATAAAATCCTAATCAAATTTCAATGAAATCCTAACCAAAATTCAACCAATCCTAATTAATTTTAAGAAACTCTTAAAACCTTAATAACTATTGATTTTTGATCGTGTTTGAAAGTTTTTACATATTGTAATCTAATAGTTAACAATAAGCACAACAATTTAAAGGAGAAACCAACTTATTGATTGAAAAAAAAAAAAAAAAAAAAAAAAAAAACTCCTTAATTACTTAAGTGTCAAACATCATTCTTCTTCAACTTTAATGTTAATCTCCTCAAAATAATATCTCTTATTTTTACCAATTAATTTCTTTCAAATATTGTACACTTATTGAAAACCAAGTTTTATACTAATATGAAATTTTTTACTTCAATCCATACAACAAATTGTTGGAAATTTTAGAAAAAACCATTAGCCCTTTCAAATCCAGTTTTCAAGATTTTAACTCACTTAAATTTTAATAATCTTTAATTTAAATATTTGATTAAGCTTGTACTTAAAATACATATTTAAAAGCATTTATATATAAAAATTCTATTTGTGCCTTAGAATTTGATACTAATTTTGTGCCTTAGAATTTGATTTCGACCCAAGGTCATAATCAATCCTCTTTGGGTGTTAACATCTAGTTTTTTTTCAATAAATTTTTCTAAAAGCTACTATTTACTTCTACCTTAAGATGCCTATGATACTAATTTTTCTAATCTATCTTATTTTGTCTTGTTTATGGCTCTACAAAATAAGTATAAGCCTGTTTTATAAAAAGACAACATTAGCACATGTTAATTTTGCTACCTCCTAGATTATTATCTATATTTCTAAGGAAATTCGAAACTATATTTTGAAACATGATCTTTATTAATGTAACTTTTTCTTTTTTCTTTTATCTATTAGTTATGTTACAACTTAACATTGCAACAAGTCTAAAACTTCTTTGAACTTAAACTCTTAATTATTATCTACTTACATAGGAAGATGTAATATTTCTTTTCTTTTCAAAATATTCACTTTTTTCTATGGCTTAAACTAGTCACATAGAATACAAGATAGATCTTTGATAGATATAATCAATAAGCAATTAAATTGAATTTTTTACAAATAAAAAATAATTCAAATTAATAATAATCCAAATTATCATAAGAGCGGCTAGTCTTGATACTACCATAAAGTAATCATACCTTTTCACTAATGTAGAATTGAATTTTTTTCCTTGAAATAAATATTTATATTGATATTTTGTTTTTCTTGAGCTTCTTTTAATTGTGTCTTTATTATTACATGCAGTTTTTATAAATAATTTGTCAAATCTTATGTCTTAAGATTATCAACTTTTGAGAAGTTAAAAGTATCAAGTTGTGGATAATAATTATAATGAACATAAAAAGATACTTGTTGAACAAAAGAATATACCATATTATTATATACAAACTATGTTAATGGCAAAAAAATTGTCTAATCATCTTGATAGTAATTGATGGTATATCTCAAATACTCCTCCAAAATTTTATTCTCATGTTTGATTTGTCCATTGGTTTGAAAAAAAAAAGACAAATATAACATTCTTTTGCTTCATATTTTGGTCATTAGTTTAAATTACCTAAGAAAAATAGATTATTATATTTTATTCAAGATAGGTAGCTAATGAATGTTGTAACTATTAGAAATGCATGTATAGAATCTTTGATAGATAAGTTTGCTAAACATTTTGTAGAAAAAAGATTATTCAATGGATGATTTATATTTGGGATATGATCAATGTCAACTTATATATAAAAATAGAGATTTAATAACAATGAAAATATCACTTGGACTACTTAGAATGTATATTTTTAAGTATAGATAGAGATTGAAGGAATCTATAGTATTAATGATAAGAAGTCTTTACTTAATAATAAATATTAAAATATTGGATAAATACTTTAATCTTTGTTTATACTTGAAGCCACCAAAAATTTCTTAAAATAAATTCCAAAGTTTTGTTATATCTAAAGTTTCGTGTTATTAAAAAATCATATAGTATTTGATGTGCACATAATTGTATTTGATCTTTTAAAATATATAAATATATCTTATAATAAAAAAATGCCTTTAATATTAAAACATGATACATTTGTGATAAAATCGCATGCTTATAAAATATGATTTATTTATTTTTATTAAAATGGCTTCAAAATTTTTAGACATCATAAAAAAGGAGATAAAATAAAGCTATTTTAAAAATAAATAAATAAATAAATTTCATCTTTATCCCATTCTAATATGTCTTTGGAAGTTAATTGTTAAGTAAAATTATAATTTAAGAGAAGTTCTTCATGTATATTTAATGATATTTTATAAATTCTAAAATCATTCAAAATTATTTATAATTTTTGTAATTTTCTAATATTTAATAATATATAAATTTTTAGTATATATTTTATAGTTTTCAATTGAAATAATACATTCCAAAACTTCTACTTTAATTATATAAAATATACATTTTTCTATCTTCAAATATAAAATTTGCATTTCTAAATTTTTATAGTATAAGGAAAATAAATTATTAATAATATTTTTAAATAAAAAGCAAAAAATTTATCCAAAAACTTATAAAATATATTATTCATTTAATGCCAAAAAATAGTTGGAATATTTATAAATCCAAATTTATAAAATTACATCTAAAATGATCATGCATAATTTTGAATATAAACTTTTATTCATCTCTTTTTTTAATAAATACCAAATTATAAACTCTTTATAGGCCTATTTTGGTGTAGATCTTATCTTCATTTATTTGATTAAAGAGCTTCAATATCAAAAATAAAGAATATAAATTTTTAATAATTAATTTTTGAATCTATTATAATCTATATACATTTGTGAGGATCTATATTTTTTCTTCATAAAGATATTTGGTGTACTTGTAGAAGATTTTAAATATCAAATAAAGTTTTTTTGCAATATTTTTATCAGCATATTTCTTTAAAGCAATTTTTTTTAAAAATTTTGCAATAAGTTGTGAATTGGTCCAAAGAATGATAAAGCTCCTTCTTGAATATTGATTGTATAATCTTAAGAAAAAGTCTTTAATAATAGATTAAAACTTTAAAAAAATAGTATTATTACCAGTTCTTTGAGATTCTATCTTAATATTCATTTGAATAAAAACTTAATATTATATAAATAAATAAATAAATAAAATTGTAATTTTTATAAATAACTTAGCTCTAAAATATTTAGGTCGAGATAGTTTGATGGCATTTGG